GTTCGTATTAAGACTGATATATCAGATGCTATTGCAATCAACTTTATAACATTAGCCAAAAGGATTACTTTTGCGCTGAACCTTTGTGATTGGTTTTAATCTTCCTGGTCGAACCCTCGTGAAGTAACCTAAAATATGCGCCTTCTTTCAGAGAGAGGCTTCAATATTGTATCTTTCTAGTAGATAGGACTTACTTCAGTGTAAAAAAAATGTAACTGGGTTCCTGTCAGAATCTTGAACAGGACATTTTTTTGTTGTTGTTGTTGTTGAATTTCGCTCAAAGCTAATAGAGAACTATCTGCATTAACTGTCCTTAATTTGAAGTGATAGACTAGAGGAGGTACGCACTTCAAAAAACAACAGAAACACTTATTAGTACGCACTTTTACGTTTTGCTCCATTTTCAGAACCAAGCAACCTGATTATAAGACGTCTTTCGAATGATATATTTCAAGTTATATTACTTCTTTTTTTTTAAATCTCGAAACATTTATGAAAAAAAATAATGTTTTTAACGTAGATACTGCTTTACTTAGAAACTATTATTTCAGAAGTTTTATTTCTGTTGATCATACAACTACAAATTGAAAAAAAAATACTACAACGCCTTTGCTTAATGTATCACTAAAACTCCCCCCCCCCAGTGGCAAAGCTGTATATCTGCGGACTTACACCACAAGAAACTGGGTTTCGATACCCGCGGTGGTCAGAGAACACATAGTGCTCATTGTGTAGCTTTGTGCTTGATTACAAACAGACAAACAGTAAAACTACTCGGAATACTATTTCAGTAATCTTTTAATATTGTTTTAATAGATTTTTCAGCCAAACTAAATATATTTCAGCAAATACTACCCGAGTTGTTATTGTCTTAGCGCATAACTACACAATGAGCTGTATTGTGGAATAAAAGTTTGGATTTTAGCTTTATAATTCCGCAAATTTACCGTTGAACACACAAGTGGGACGAGAAATAGAAACAGGAAATAAGTTATTAAACAATACATTATACTTGACATAATTTCATAACCGAGTTGTTATTGTCTTAGCGCATAACTACACAATGAGCTGTATTGTGGAATAAAAGTTTGGATTTTAGCTTTATAATTCCGCAAATTTACCGTTGAACACACAAGTGGGACGAGAAATAGAAACAGGAAATAAGTTATTAAACAATACATTATACTTGACATAATTTCATAACCACACTTTTATTTATTAACGACTTTAAATGTCATTGTATTATTGTATGTTGCCTCAGTAGCATAAAAAAAATGTTTTTGATTTTATGAATTTAAAACATTACCTCGAGAGTTATTATCCTATTGTTAAAGAAACAGACGATATTTTACGAGTTTAATCTTAGGTATTTTAAAAAAATGATTAAGTGGATTTGATTCATTCCCCTAACATGCTCTGACCTTAGGCTAAAAATATGTATTCAGTAGATTTCAGGTATAGAATAATAATGGAATTTATTTCTATTTTTTTAGCTACCTTTCATTACAACTGTAGTGGCATTCACGGAAACCATGGCTTTATAAGCACGATTTTATTTCATACCTTTATTCATGTTTTAGAAGTCTAATAAGCTAAGCATATTGGAAACTAATTCTTACCACTATCTCAACTTTCCGTTTCATTTACTCATCTGATTTCATATCTGAGGATTTTTATGTAACTAACCGTATTTAGGATAACGTCTGATGATCATGTTCTACGCATATCCCTTGGCGAAATATATTTATTTGTCTAAGAAGACAAGTAATAGCCCATGATTAACGAATATTTAATTAGATCTACCAGCATTAGAACTGATAGACGTATATTTTCAACCAAATTTATTTATATTGTTTTTTAAATCATGTTGATGCTTCTATTGTATACGTGTCACTGTTTTAATGGTTTCAACTAATCCTTCAACTGCGAGATGAAATATTTTTATTGTTAACATAATTAATTAACTGTTTTCCCTATAGTCTATCGTTTATAAATTAGGGACAATTAACGCAGATAATCTTCGAGCAGCATTGCGATAAATTCAACAAACAAACAAACTGCCTGACAATCGGAGTGATGGTTTCGAATCAATCTTCTTTTTTTTTCCTCCGAGTTTGATTTTTGCTTTACTCGTAACTTTACAGGAGAATGTACCACCAGTAACGTTTCTACAGCTTAGAAATTCTAATATCGATTAGAATTAAGCAAAATATATATCAGTTACATATTGGAAAGAAATAACACCGTCAGCAAAAAAAAATAAAAATAAGGGAAAACATAATATATTGTAAAAAATGCGTTAACTACTTTTACTTAAAAAAGTTACAGTAAAATTACACACAACAATTTGGTATACCTCGCAAAAATATTATACAGATGCTTTATGAATGTTATTACAATAAGTTTGTAACGAAATATTACTCTTTTACAACAAAACTGGCATTTGTAGCTATATTTCATGTGACCCTAGAGATATGTTATTTCCTCTACCTCTTCTTTATATAAACAAAGTCGCTAGTTCAATTGTTGAACTCAAAGTAGTTACGTTTGTTTTTTAGGCTGTATAACAGTTGATTCGCATGTTTTTAATTTTTGTGTACTTGAAACATTTCTAATAGAATCTAATTACAAAATACAATTTGTAAAGCTAGGCAGGAGTGCCACAGTGGGTCAGCGAAAAACCTAAGAACTTACAACGCTAAAATCCGAGGTTAGATTCTCCATGCTGGATAAAGTGCAGGTAGCCGATTGTGCAGCTTTGTGCTATAAAAGAAATAACAGCACTTAGTCAGATGGATAATTTACTTCCTACTAAACCATGTGTTTCATGAGCTGAATATACCTACATATTCAAAATCACCTTGAATTTGTTAAATAGGTTGTATGTATAGTCGAGCACAATATTCATGTATTGTAGAATAACTCGAAAAATAGCCACTGAAAATAGCCATTTTGAAAAGTAATTCTATGTTTGATTCTCTTCTTAGCTGTACTGAACAGGTTTCAGAAGGATTATAATTATCGTTTTCTTTGTAATTGCAGAAACAAACATTTCAAAATGCATTTCAAATTTTAGATTTCATTTATGAACTTTTTTGTTTTTGTTTCGAGACGATTTCGGAAAAACATAATTGCACATAACAACATGCTCAACTATCAAAAATATTTCAATATCAATATCTAAACTTAGTAAACTGTGCTAGGAACTTCAAAATAAAACAACAAAATAATGTATAACATTATGAACATTGCGAAAAAAGAAATTAAATGATCATGCATAAATACAAAACGCACACCATTCATTAGGGTAAAAAAAAAACTTATTCGAACTGAAAAATAAAACGTGATTGTTTCTCTCTAAAAGTTTCCACCTATAAATATTTTTTAAATTAAAAGTAAAATTAGCTAGGCAGTAAATAATGCAAATCTCATTCACGTTATTTTTTTATTATAAAAACACGTGTGTAACGTATTTCATTCAAGATAATTGGAGCATATCCAACGCTAGAAACCACTTATAAACAATTCTAGTAATCTGATGAGCCTCAATATAAATCTTACATCTGTATAACATGTTTTGTTGTAAGGAAGATATTACTTTTACTAAAATAAAACACAGGTCCCTGGGTTGGTTCTGTGGTAGAGCTTTGGATTTCAGAGTTTGAATCCGTGAGACACGAGAAATATATTCCAAGCAATTTAATCCGTAGGTGCGTTGTAAGAGTAACAGCAAATTCCTTTGCGTGGATGGTAGTAGTAAGGTGCTATTTACTGGTTGTCTTCCTTCTGGACAGTTGTTTGAAATTAGGGACGTTGGAATAGCCTCAGTAGCCACAAAATACAATCAAAACCCATATAATTTGAATATCAGTAAAATAAATATTTCTTTATTGTTATACCAACTGAATCTAATGTACTTAAACATGACCTTTGTTATGCTGCATTGTCATTGTAAGGTCAAATGAAAATATAATTATTTTGAGAATGCGTAATCTATAAGTGTGGGGTGCATTTCATAGTATATTGTATTCGGGTAAAACTAGCATGTAGAAAATGCAGTACTTCAAACTCTGTATATTGTAATTAGTAAAGCTTAATATTGTGTTGAGCACCTACATGATAGTATGAATTTTCAACTGAAAGAAATTTTAATTTCTTATTTTACAATGATCTTCCTCGGTTTGCATAATACAGATATTATTCATAGACGATATTTTCAAATGAGACATTCTACCGAGAAATCTTTCAGCCAACATCTTCAAAAACAATATATTTCTATTTTGCAGTATTTGGCTGAAGTCTTTTACATATCACTAATAATTTAAAATACTTTAGGTATTTGAATAATCTGTGAATATTTGGGCACGATTATTTGTTTCGTAATTCTTCAATTCGATAGCTGGTGATATAACTCAACTATTGTGTTTCTACATTTTATTTGGACTTGAAAGATTAAATACAAGAAGTAACACATTACCGAATTTAACAACAATAATATTATTTAAAAATGGCCAAATTCGCCTTATTTGGTTTAAATACTTTCAATGCTGTAACTGACTTTTTCAATATCATTAATTATTTTAGGTTATATAAAACCTACTGGTCAGTATATTAAAACAGAAAATTGTACTGTTGATAAGTCTAACAAATATTTTAAATTACTTGTTTTCATATTTTATTTTCATATTTCATATTTATCATAAACTGTTTGACGATTCAAAAGTGAAAACAGCAGATTGAACTATCGTTTGAAAATATATACTAAATTAAAATAATCTTAATTTAATCTTTTTTTTTCTGCGGTTCTTTATTTATTTGAGTAAATAATTATCAAGTAACAAGTCGTTGTTACCATTTTGGAAAATGAAACAAAAACATGCTCACATGTTAAAGTTTCTATCTTTTGATCAAGATTATGATGTAAACTCTTTTCTTAAATGTTTTTCTTGTTATGAAAACAGTTTATCTTATCTCGTTGCACTTCGATTTACCTTTTTTAGGTGAGTCCACGGAAGGTTTGAAATTTGCTCATGTCCTGGGGATTATCGTTGGAATGTTTCTTGTATTATTGATTATGTTTGTACTGAATTTCGTGTTGAGGAAATTACATCGTACGCAACTTTCTCGTCGAGGTAGGTAACTTGTTTACATTAATTTTTAGCCAACTTGAACATATGTAGATAATACTTGAACTTCAAAATAGATAATATTGTTAAAATGTCATGAAACTTTATGGATAATACTTTGCCTTCAAAATAGATAATATTGTTAAAATGTCATTAAACTTTATGGATAATTATTTGCCTTCAAAATAGATAATATTGTTGAAGTGTCATCAAGTGTTTAAATTTTTCCATTATTTTTATCTATTTCGCTAATCTCTTTTGAAAGTTGTGTAAACGAAGTAATTGAAAAAATTAATACTGTAACTCATACAACAATAGTTGAAGAAGCAAATACAAATTTATTAGAACGTCAACAAAAGAAAGTATAATGGAAATTAATTAATTAGTTTTTTCTTCTCGTTCGTATTTAACACCAAATATAAGTGAGTTCAGTATATTAATTTAAGTCTGATTAAAATATTTTTATCATCCACATATGTCATTATTTCTTTAGTCTTCCATAACACTGACGCTCTTTTTGCTATATCAAACTTCCCTGAATAATGTTTTAAGTATTTACAAGTAATAGGAAGCGTATAATGTAATATAATAAAGGTGTATCATAAAATACGTCTACTATGAAGAGGGAACTAAATGAGCTCTATGGGTAAAATTGTAATCATTTAGGGTTAACCTCTACTGCCATTCGTGTGAAATTGTTATAACTGAAGACTTTAAATTGTAATTACGTAAATATGCAATTTGGAAATCAGAGTAGACTCAAGTAAAACCATTAACCGACTTTTTTAAACCCGTACATAGTGTTTCTGATATTGTTTGGTGGTTTACAAGCGCAAAGCTACACAATAGGCTATCTGCACTCTGTCCACTACGTGGAATCGAACCCCGGATTTTAGCATTGAAAGTCAGTACTCCTCTAATATTAAAAGAAATAATGGATATTATTTTAGAAGAATGTTTAATTGTGTTCCACATAGAAAACTATCATTTTGTTCATCCGTAGGTATAACATAAAATACATTCAGTAGATTAGTTTTGTCATTTGGGAAGTTTACTAATCTCATACTGACGTCAAACCATTTCTTTGTTTCGTGAAACTAGAAATGTTTTATAAGATAACACAGGATCGTTGGTTTGTTTAAAAGTAGAGCCACATTGAGCTGTCTGCAGTATCCAGCGTGAGATATCGAACTTCAAAATTTAGCATTGTAATTCCTCAAACTTAACGCTGTACCACTGTGAAATCAGTAACAAGGGAACATGCATATAATAAAATACTAAAATATATGAATGAAGATGAATTAAAAGTATGCTAATAATAAGAACATTATATGAAGCGAGTGTGTTTTATCTTTTTTGTGTAGCTCAGTATCTAACTTTTTCCAGTTTATATTCTTTTTGTATTAAAGCTTAAATCTTTATATCTTTTCACTTTTAATCGTAGATAAGCCAGTCCTTTCCATTAATTATATATTGCTGCTCATTTCTTTTAAATTTATATTTTGAAATCTGAAGTATTGCTCTTTCTCTTATGTCTCCTTCTATATATTCAATATAAGATTACATATTTAATTTTTTTATTTCTTTTCCATAGTTTATAAATCTAAGAATACATCAGTCTCCATCAACTATGTTGATGCAGAATTTCACTCCTATATATTCTGTACTTTAAGAATAGCATTATCCTTTATTCATCAGTATGATTGTTCATTACGTTTGGAAATAATTCAAATATGAAAAAGATAAAGATCTCTCCTTATTTACTTCTACTTTTTATGTAAATTTTATTTCACTATAACTCCTGAATGTAATCAATCACTATTTTCGGTACACGATTTCAAATTTCTATAAGAGTATGTCTCTTTCCTACGATTTTATATTTTCCTTATTGTTTTCACACCTAGAATACACTTTACATTCATTCACCCCATATAGTAATTTATTTCTTGGATATTTCATTTATATCTATAAAATGGTGCCTTAACTTTTCCTTTTCTATTAGTTTCTAAGCATCTATAACTATTGGTTCATAGTATTGGCAATTCTTATCAAATTTTAATCTGCACGACTGAGATGATGATTCTATAAAATCGCTATATATTTGTCCTCACCTCTTGTATTAAATCATTTTTCTATAGATCAAAATCAACGATACTAGAATATCTATTCTACATGATTACTTTTCTTCAGTCTGGGACTATTCCACTTTAAGACACGTAGAGTGGTTTAATGATTTAGTAAAGCAACTCTGTAATAACAGCACACAGGTAAATTGGTATAACTACGAGTCCTGGATACGTATTAAGAAAGCTCTGTTTGTCTAAACATGTATTACGTTGAACACCAACTGAATGTTTTAAAAATAATATCTATATCATAAATACCGGTTCGTGGTTTACATGTGATGTACGTTATGCCTTCAGCGTTATGAACTGTTATCGCACGCAGCCATATGACTACTGAGGTAATATACGAAATTTATTGTGACACTGCCTAGAGTTAGAAGAAGCAAATTCTATGGGTTTTGTGTGTTTGTTTTTTATTTTGCTTAAAAACTGTCGTGTTCACGTTAAACATTTTTTCTTGTATTCCTCAATAATATTTTATAATAGCAATAACTGGACATGATGCGTAAAGACGAATAAAACTGTTTCTCTGTTATAGAAAGTTATAGAAGGTATACATGTATATGCTGGGGCTAAAATCTGTGAAACAGACATTGATGATAATAAACTTACTCTTTCTAATGTTAATATCTATTAATCCAATTTCATAAGTATATATTTATTTTGTCGTTGTTTTTTCTTTAGATGGACGACCAGAAAGCAATCGAATTGATAAGTAAGTTCCAATCTTTAAGAAGTAAAAAAAAGTAAAAATTCAAATTGTACTCTATATTTACATGCTGATTAGATTTTCGTTTTTTTTTTTGAATAATTTTTAGTTATAGGAAGAATCTTGGATTACAGTTCTACTTAAAATTATGATATTGATACTCTGTGGTACGTGTATCTGTAGAAGTAATCATTGAATCGACAAGAAATAACAGATAGATAAATTATCTGGGAAGCGTATCGACCGACGATTATAGGGTTTATCAGAATGATTCAAAGATTACATGCAAGATAAATCGTACATCATTCTGAAATCGTTACTTGGGGTTCACAACTAGCGACAAAAAATACGCTGTAGAGTTTAATATTGATCATTTCTTATAAATTCTTACTATATTTTTAGCATTTGTTATCGTTCTTTGAAAATCTGCACAGGTTGTTTTTTACATTTGAAAAGAGAAAATGATTCTTTAAACACTGTAAAAATACTTGATTCTACCCCATCTTAACTACTAGTTGAAAAGGTTTAACTGCAAAAATTTAACACTCTGAAGCACTAACTAGCTCCTAACTCATTTTAGCTCCTAATTTGAAAGTAGAGTGGCAAAATTGCTGTATTTGTAACATTTATCCAAATATTCTAAAATTGAAGATACTAGAATAAAACTATGAGCTGATCGATTTGGAAACGTGTGATTTTATAATAAAAAAGCAACAGTGCAATGCTTTACAGAACAAGCAAGAGATTGGCTATTTTTTTGCTTCTTTAAATATAACAAAGAAATCAATACTTATGCTTATAAAGATACATATGCGTAAATAAATTTCTGAATGTCGGTATCAAGTAAGTAACACTGAGTCCGTCAGTTTCTGATGTACAATTGGATGTTTAATTAACAAATATTTCTATTACAATATAGACTGCAAACGAGCTTTGTCGTGGAAGAAGAATCACCGAAACACGATGTTCAGTTACTAGACCTCATTTCTACAAAGAGAGATTTTTCTGGTAAGTTTCTTTTGTTGAAAAGCTTTTCGATGTAGAGTAATCTAACGTATATTTATTTACTTTTCTTTGATTACCAAACTCTAATACAATCAGACTGGAATACAAAAACAAATACGTTTGCATAATATTATACTTTGTAGCTACTGCTGAACTATCTATAACATCAATGTCAGTATCAAAGAGTCTTTTCTTATGCTCTTTCTATATTTCTATAAGAATGCTATTAAACAATTTCGGGATATAGCGTCGTGCAGCATTATGCCATCTCCTAGATAAATAACATAAGATATAAGTTATAATACAAACCTAAGATTATATAATTATCTATCTGATTTCCACTCACTGCTCTTATGTAACAATGACCATATTTCTAAAGCCAATAACATAAACTAAATAAATTGCGTTTGCTTCCATTCTATTTGTATGATAAGTGAGCATTATTCCAGCACTTTCTCTGAAAATTATTATTTATAGACACGATATTCAAAATATATATATATATATATATACATTAATTATACTTTTGGACAATTCTAAAAAATCCCTACATATGTTGAACAGACGAAGAATGTGTAAGGTGTTTGATTGATCTAATATATTCTTGGGCCATATAATCAACTATCTATTTTGAATAAATAATGGTTATGTATTCATCTATGTTAGCTGATATCACCACAGAAACAAAAAATGTAATTAAACTCGATCATTTAAGCAAGACGAAAAACCACGTTCAAATCGGCAATACTTTCTGCATACAAACCAACATTATAATTGTCATTTTCGTTATATACTATTTGGATTAGGATGTCAATCACAACTAAATAAGTGTCGTTATATTTAAAAGATTTTGGATCCTCACTCAGTCGTTACAGTCAATGTCACTATCCCTAATTATGGCCGTGCTCTTAACATTATCAGGGAGCTAGAAGGTACGAAAAGGTAACTCAAGCTGAGAAAGACCATGAGTTTGAAAGACAGAAACTAGTTTTTGAAGTCCAAGGACTCGAACTAGAAAAAGAATTTTTAAAGGCTAGTAGTGGGATCAATAGTAGCCAAGGCCCAACTTCCCACAGGACAAAACTATCTTCTTTTAGTAAGGTTAAATCCAATATCGATCCTTAGTTGCTTAGGTTTGAGTGAATGATACATCTCAAGGATTGACTAAAGACAAGTGGTCATTAAATTTGAATACCTTAATCTCTCTGGTTGGGCATTGGAAGTGTACTCTCGGCTATTAAAGAAACATGAAAAATCATACAAGTTTTCAAAGAAGCCCTCTCAAAACATTTTAACCTTACTGAAGATGGTTTTAAGCAAAGGCTTAGGAATGCTAAAGACTTGTTACCTTGTGAGCAGATATTTAGTTCAAGACCATGGAAGTTAACAAAGTTCTTGAAAGAAAGAAACCTCAAGGATTTTACTTCGATCTTTAAAGCAGCAGAAGTTTATTTGGATGCTCATTTTAGGAAGAAACATGAAAACAAACAGCAAATATGGTCCACACCTGTAGAAATGAATAAATATTAAAACAGGGGAAACAAAAGAAGTCCTGCGCTCATTAATCAATATGTTTTATCTGCAAGAAGATGGATCATATACCTAAGAATTGTTTCTATAGAAAGAAAACAGAGCAGAAATGTTGTTCATTGATATATTGAGGGGCGTAGGGCACACTGCTCTGTGGAAAAAGAAAACTACCAATGATGACTGCATTAGGAATTCGAGAGGCATTTATTCCTACAACAAAAGAAATGTTAGGAGGTAAGATAATTTCAGTTTTAATATATACTAGGTGTAGAAGAATTGTAATTAAAATACCATTAGTTTCAGATTATTCGTGGATTGGGGAATACCAACATTGCGTTTTGTCAGATGGAATGGTGAGGAAGGTGCCACTAGCAATGATCTTTATAGATACCCATTATTTCACCATACAACCTATATGGAGGTACCACTGTATGATTTAGTATTGAGGTACCTCGTGCAAACAGGACAAATAATTCCAATCCCAAAAGCAGAAAAGAAGATTCAGGGGTGAGGGATGAAAGTCGAGGACAGAAAAGATGTTGAGAGAAATTGAGTGATTTATACATAGAAATGGAGTAAGCAGCTTGTGAACAAATAGCGAAAATAGCAATGGAGCTACATACAGTCTCTACAAACACCAAAGGCCCAGTTACTGATATTACACTGACAGAGATTACCACTGCACAAAAAATTACCTGACTTTGGAGTTAGTCAGGTAGTTTGCCATATGAAGTGGGTGACTCCAGAAGAGCAAGTGTAAAATTTAATAAAAATGGAAGAGAGGTTTATTATACAAAGGAAATGGATTATCTCAGTTGGATCAAAGAAACTTTATGACAGAATTATGGTAAGCCCAATTTTTGCCAGGCATACAGGCTGCTAACTAACAGTAAAATAGGGAGAAATGACAGATGAATATTGAATAAAATTCCCTTGCTAGAGATAGTAGATCAGGGATTAAGTGATTTTCATCTACAGGTAGTAGGACAACAGAAGCTCTTCCAAGAATATTTATTGCAAACTTTTGTTGAACGAGAAGAGTTGATTGCAGTGAAGATGTTAATTGAGTTACACGATGGGGAGCCAATAAGCCAGTCTAACCTGTCTGAATTAATTCACATGTTGGTGTGAATATAAACCTCCATTTGGATGGCAATCATATCTATCTAGTAAATGAAATCCACATATTCAATTCAGAACCAAAAGTCCCCCCTCTCCTCTCCAGTGACTCAGCTATAAGTCTGAAGGCTTATTATGCTAAAAACCGAATTTTGATACCCATGGTTGGCACAGCACAGACAGCTCATTGTGTAACTTTCTCTTAGCAAGAAACAGACAGAATAAAAATTTAGTATGTATAATAATCAGATATGTTTGATTGAATGTGTTGACATACACCACAATTTTAATACTCTTTCATAAGAGGTCTTAAAAACATAGTATTATCTAAGCGTACTATTTCGAATTTTTAAATAGGTTTTAAAAAGCTGAAATAATACACCTGTAACATAATGATCATAATTCCGTGAATAGTTAAATAGAGAGTTTGTGGTACATTTGTTCTTCACCTACATACTACCTATATTATACTTATCTTTTTTTATGAAATTATACATGTACATGTGAATGTTTCCTATAGAACTACTTAATGATTCATCATTAAATTTTAATTACAATTTCAAAATAAACTCAGGTCCACCTGACGTTACTCACACAAGCGTTAAGTGGAACCATATGACACCAGCAGATGGTGCTGTGGAGTATACGAAAGATCAATTGATTCCTGTTTCACCCACAGAAAAGGATCCGGTAAGAACACTTGATTTTTTTTTTAATATCTATTTCTTGACATCGCGTGTGTCTTCTACTTTCACCCTGTCAGTCGTAAAATCTGTAGGATTCTCTATTTACTATTGCTATTAAGCTGCAATTGCAAATCACATTAATTTAGATTTTTTATGATCTTTCACACGCTAAGAGATACACTTAACTCCTTTTAAAAACATCTGTGTCACTAAGATGTGTTTTATTTTAAACAAAAATAATCTATTATCTCAGGAAAATGTTCAAGTAATTTCATATATTTCAATGAGCTCCGCACTCGTTTTTCCAAACTGAAATAGAAAAGTAGATTTTCGAAACTAAACGTTAATGTAGAAAAGCAAATTCACAAGACAAATATCCGTTTACGGTGATGTTGAAAATATACATATTACCTAATGCTTCAAATAATATCCAATAAAGTTTTTCGTGTACTTAATGTGAACATTCATTTGAATTATCAATTGATTAGAATAAAAATAATTCTTAACTATAGAAGAAATTAAATCTACGATAATTTAATAACACAACAAATGTATCAAATCCATTAAGACACGCCATAATAGAAAATATACAGTCAGCAAATTGTTGTTTCATTTTTTTCGAACCAAGAAGAAATCAAGATTTGAATAACAGAACCTGTTTCACTGGTAAAATGTAATGTTTATTATACTTCATATTCCTTTTCGTTTTGAACAGCATATTGAACTTTTATGTTTTAGAGCAGTTAGAATAAAACTAATTTTCATCACATAAAGTGGCTCAGCGGTAAGTCTGAGGGCTTATAGTGCTAACAATCGGGTTTTTGATACCCGTGGTGGGCAGAGCACAGATAGTCCATTGTGTAGCTTTGTGTTAAACAACAAACATCGTTTATATTTTTTATTTTCTTTAAGGATTGCATTTGTAGAAGAAAGGTTCATGGTTCAAAGTTTAACTATATAAATCTCTTGCGTTTTTTTAAAAGAAACTTTTAATGTATTTCCATTATTTTTGTTCATTTATTTATGAATTTTATGATATTCATTCTGTGCAAGAATCAGTTATTTCGTGGTGATGTTTTTTTCTAATAAATGAAAGAAGGTGTAGGTATTTTTATGTGATTAATATAGTGAATGGAACAAGGTTCTGTGACAGTTGGCTTCTCGTCTTCGTCTATTTTGACGCCAAGCAGCATTAGACGAAAGCCTCTGAAACTGGATGCAAGGTTTTTGTAAACAAATATTTAAACTGTATAACACACTGTGGTTCATTTTATTCTTCCTGCTAAAGTTTCATTTTACTATGAACACACTAATACGGATTATAATATTTGTCACGTGTAACAAGCTGAGAACTCCATTTTGCGCTATTTTCTCATTGGTGCTTAACGGGCTAGCCAGTTCTGTGTATTCGAAATACGCTGTTTATATTTTGTTTACACACATTTCTGCTGATAATATATACATACTTCAAGGGCAGACGGATAAAACTATTTCGTCAGTTGTTTTGATTATAGTAACTCTCACTTAGAACAAAAACATAGGAATATAATGTGTTGAAAATACACTGTTTTCGTTTCTACATATGTTCCAGAATTAAATAATATTTTTAACCAGTGGGTTCTTCTGTCATAGTTCATTGTCCTGGATGTCCTTGCTCTTACACAACCTGTGTGGAGGTCGCTGGATATGATAGCTATGGCCACGCCTGACTTTAATAGAAAACATTTCAATCACTTGTTGATGGAACACATTCTTATTTGCTATCACTTCGACTATCAGAACTTATTACAACTTCTCTTCCTCCTTACGTTTCAGTTTATGCTTCTCACGTATACCCGGTCATGTAAATCTAAGGGCAAACTTTCTCTTCACACTTTGAGCCCGTGATTCAAATCCAAGTATTCAATCAAACAAGAGTTTCCCAAGAATTATTGTAAATCCAAGGGCAAAACTTCGCTTCAAACTTTGAGCCTGTGAGTCAAATCCAAGTATTCGATCAGACAAGAGTTTCCCAAGAGTTACTGTAAATTTACGGGCAAAACTTCTCTTCACACTTTGAGACCGTCAGTCAAATCCAAGTATTCAATCAGACAAGAGTTTTCCAAGAATTACTGTAAATCCAAGGGCAAAACTTCTCTTCAAACTTTGAGACCGTGAGTCAAATCCAAGTATTCAATCACACAAGAGTTTTCCAGGAATTGGCGATGGGTTCTGATGACTAGCTGTCTTCTTTCCTTTCTATTAGTTAAGAATTATTGACGGTTTTAAGAAGATTGTTCTTATGTAGCTTCGCGCGAAAATTCTACAAATCGAACAGTCACTCTATTTTTCTTTGACTGTTATATTTCATATTTTAGATATAGCTGAAGGTTGTTTATTGCTGCTGTTTCGGCCATTACCTTTTGTACTCTGTGGATTTCACAATTCAATGATCCAGTTTTATATAGCGTCCGACGTCCAGTATGAAACAATACCACTTAGGACTTAGTGTTTTCCACGTTATAAATGTATGTCATAGCCACATTTATTCTGCTCTCAGTAACTTTCATTGCTGATTTACTTTCCACAAATCTGTTTCTGCCTGACTGTTTCTATTTTCAATTTTTGGCAAGCGCAGTTATATGACTTAATGATCGTTTTTGAAAGTCACCTAATGTAATTTAGAGTACTATTTTTCTCCGTTCACTCTTTGTACAAGTCTTAGCCAGGTTGATAAGTTCCGATGCGACAGTAACGACCAATAAACCAAACTTTTGTTTGTAACATACAAAGCAGGAGGCTCAGTATATATTTTCATGTGGTGATCTGGCTCCATCATTTAGATAGCAGTACCCTCTCAACGTCATATGGTTTTCAAATTAAACTTTCTGTTTTATTAGTCAGCATTTCGTGATTTTCTATTTCTTGCTCGTCAGTCTTTAAAAAATAAACATTTAAATATGGATATATATTAAGTCTATAGGTCTATAAGTATTCCGCAAATGTTAAACCATACTCAAGCACATTTTATACTCCAAACATCAAACATATTAATGATAATTGATGCAATCCCTGACTAATAATGGTGGCTGTTTTTTCCTACCGGAATAATCTAAGTTCAGTTTCTAAAGTAATGTGAGAGTGAATCTTTTGCACACTGAATTGTACCCAAGGGGATATTCCTCCTTCAAAGTAAGTTATCTACATTACCTTTCACATTGACTTGGTATTCGAGGAAATATTCCTCCTTCAAAATAAGTTATCTACATTACCTTTCACACTGATTGGGTATTTAAGATAATATTTCTCTTTCAAAATAAGTTATCCACATTACCTTTTCCACTGACTTGGTATTCAAGGAGATATTCCTCCTTCAAAATAAGTTATCCAATTTTACACTGACTTTCCAAAAGCACATTCAAAACTATGACGTTGCTTCTTTCTCCTCTTGTTAATATGTATCATCAATAGAAAATAATATTCGTTGCCTTAAGTTCTAACTATACCAGGAGGAATATAAAAATTACTTTTGTGGCTTGTGATTTTCAAGAGACCGACGAGTCTGATGAGTAGTTCAGTTAAAATGTAGTAATTTTCTATTCCATCAAACATAATGAATTTCCTAAGAAAAAATAAAAGATGAAACATCACACCTTGAACAACAATATTGTACATTTTATTATCAACGAATTTCCAAAAAAAAATAGTTCATTTTTACCTAATACTGTTTCGATATTTGCGTTGGATAGTGAAATGATAAGTCATTCCGTAGCTTTGTGCTTAACAACAAACAAATAAAATCTAATAATGTATACATAGAGCGATTTATAATCATAAATTATGTCATACTATTTAAACTTGCTGCTATTTTTTACTCTAATATATTTTATGTAGTTACACTAGAGGTTTTATTATTTCCACTGTAGTGGCAAGATCGAGAATCTAAGGTGAATCGTAGATCAGATCGTGACGATGAATCCCCACTTTGCATTATTTCCGAAAGTGCTAACGCCCTTTACGACACAGTGAAGTGGAGAGCTAAACCATTTCACGCTCAATCACTAATAAAACCTGAAGACGTAGAGAAATGCGTAACTTCCGAAACACCATTGATGAACACTATTATCGTTGGAGAACAGGTTGGTTTTTTTTATCGTCTTTAATTCTACTCACATACAACTAAGAATATAATTTTTATTTGGTTTAGAAAATTGCTTCCAATACAACCTATAGAACATCTTAAAATTTCAGAAACGTTTTAGGTATTCGAGACTACATTCCTGCTACAGATGGGAAATGTTATCAGATCTGTTTTTGATCTCTATATAATATATATCATTAAAAGCACTTATATTTAAAAAATAAGTCATAATATAGTTTAATTACCCTACAATATATATATATAATTGTTATCCTGGTTTATCATTCGTTCGTTAACTAGTTGGCAGCAGTTGGAAAGTACATTTTTTGTCATAATTGCAATATAATTTAAGTTATAATTTTAGGTATAATATGTTAGAAGGTGATGTGTCATTTCAATTACTTTTCAAAATACACGAAAACTTTATATGTATTTCTGAAAAGGATAACATGTGTTTCTTTACTGTTTTCTTTGATTTTATATAAGTGCTGATATAGTAATTATAGAGTGTAGTTTTGACTCAGATTATCAGATTAACCAGTTGTTCCGTTGATTTTCCTTAAAGTCATAATATTGGTTGATATATGATATATGACATTTTTATTAAATCTGTTTCTCTTTCTTAGTCTCTTCAAATTCAAAATATCGTTTCTACGGAAGTGTGAATGTGATTATTCGTATTTCATACTATTTATAATCGGATGTTTCTTTGTGTCCTGTCAAACTGTGCCTTTTCTTCATATTAAACGCTTCTTCAGAACTATCAGTTTTATATGGCTCTTTGAATCCTCGGACTACTAACTGCTAATCCCACAATAGAAAATTATCAGTTTATTTAACAGCTTTTCTGCTTATTTTCCATATTTTAGTCCTACCTCTGTAGTGGTACCGCGGGTATGAATATTATGTTTCGTGTATTAACAAAAATAATATCTGTACATTAGTTTCAAATAAAGCCTTCAAAAATATATGAATATTATGGCGTGGGTTAAACTTATTTATATATTTTGTAAGCTGAATACTTACTATATAAAGGAGAAGGATGGATATCACATGACATTTTAACAGTAAATATAGCCGCAAAAATTTCACTCGCAAAATATGCTTATAAATAATTAGTTTAAAGATTTTCATTACGATTGTAAAGATATTTCATCACATAGAATATAATTGTATTATATTTATTTGTGTAAGTTTTTATTGCATTATAAATCATCAATCAGTTTTTTGCATACAGTAAAGCGAAAATTCAGCAATTACACTAATTAAAGAGATATAACATGAGCTCCATAATCTATAATGTTGTTTCTTATTAATCATTTTAGGTGTAGTACAAATATTACACACATTAAACATGCAATTCAAACAACTAGCATACTTAATGATGTGATAATATTTTATTACATTAGCAGGGTACTACAAAAATAATTATACAAAAAAAGGAAAAACTAACATTTTGATTTACGATCTTTGTATAGTACATTATCACTAAAACCTTTCAATTCCGATAATGCCAAAAAATCCATAGACTGCTTTAAAACTATCCGAAACGTTAGTTAGACAGTCGATATATTTTTTGGAAGAAGTAGCACGAATATTCTGTGGCATATGTTAAATGAAATTACGAATATTAAAGGTCTGACATAACCTGGTGGTTAGAACGTTCGACTCTCAACCTGCAGGTCGCGGGTACGAATCCCTTCACCGAACATGCTCGAACTTTCAGCCGTGAGAACGTTATAATGTAATGGTCAATCCACTATTTTTGGTAGAATAGTAGCCTAAGAGTTGGCGGTAGGTGGTGGTGACTAGCAGCCTTCCCTCTAGCCTATCACTTCTAAGTTAGGGACGACTAGCGCAAATAACCCTCAAGTAGTTTTGCAGAAAATTCAACAAATGAATATTAAAGAGGTTAATAGAAAACTTTCATTACATACAGACTGATTGGCCTCTTTATTGACACATTCTATGCATTATTTAATGTGCAAAATAGACTGAGTATATGGTGCGTCAAGTAACTGCTTAAGACTTAGGATTGTAGCAGTGAAATCATATTATGAGAAGTCTGCAAGAAACTGAATGAAACAAAGCCTAGTCCATTTTTAAATGGGCCACGAAAGAACATCTTTATCAGAGACCGGCTGTGCAAATAAATTCTCATCATATTTTATGAACAATGGTAGTCGCCAGGAGTAGCTCTGCCAGAAAGAAAACCGTTAATCCTTGGTGACTAACCGATAGAAAAGACGATGGACAGGTTTGTGAAATGCAACAGACATCAGACTTGTCCCAGTTTTCTACTTCTATCAGCAGTTGTCAAGATTCGATTACCTCCAAATATGCTACACAAAACTGTCAATTAGCAGCTGACAATTAATTCAAGAATCTTTTAATTCAGATGCAAACAGGAAAGCACAATTTGAGCAGCTTTTAATGTGCAAACTGTGAAGAATTGTTGAATGGAGGTGTGTTATGTGGTCTAATAAGTCACGTTTTTTTTTCCTTTTAATTACAGTTAGTAGAATATAAAAGATACGAAGAAACCAAGTGAAGCACTTGAAACTGCTTGTATTGTTCGGACAGCTCAGGTCCCGCCATAGGGCATAATAGTTTTGGGAATATTCTCTTAACAGGAATAGGAATCTTTGGTTCTTATATAATGTGTTTGAATTTTTTTTCTGACAATGTTCATCACGTAATGCTGTCCTTCGGTAGGCCAGCATTAAGTTACGGACTTCCAACGCTAAAATCCTGGGTACGATACCATTCGGTAAAGAGAGAACATAGTCCATTGAGCAGGTTTGCGCAAAAATAACAACAACTTATAATGTTGAATTTCCACCTTGATGTATAAAAGATTTTCCAAGACTATAGTGCAAACATTCACAACAATAGTACTTTCTAAAACTGACTCGAAAGGCACTTCAATTACCTTCTTTATTGCAGATTATGTTCCTCAACAGAAGTGCTACAACCAAATTTGATTTATAGTTATATCGATATTATGTGTAGCCCACACTATTATTACAGTAAGAGGTGATCCATCTTGATATTAGTTGTGTTCCCTAGTAAACTAATAGCCGAGTTGCGTATTATAAGGTATTGCAATATCCTTATTTGTATGATAAAAAGCTAGTAAAAAGTTACTTTATATGTAAAGAAGCTCGTAAAACATTTTATTAAATATTTTTTTCTTTGCGTTTATGGCCAAGTTCATTGGTATATATTTGATATTTCGCCACGTTTCTAACATATATTTCCAGCACGGCTTTTATTTCTTAAGAGTTATTGGATCTTACATTAAGTGTTAACTTCTTTCATTGACATTGTTCTAGTTTATAAATCGTTTTTCGATATTTTTTTCAGTCAAATATTTAGTTAAACTTACAGCTACTGCTACTAAATAAGAAAGAGGGAAAAACTGAAAATATTATTTTCACTTTTTCAAACTAGTGACCTTTAACATTTCAATTTCTTTTAAGTCATGTTCTTACAATTCGTCATTCACGTGCACCAAACGTAATATAAAGTTCTTAGAAATATGCAGCTTTTTACAAGCACGTAATGCTAAATATAAACTATTTTCTGGTTGCAGAGAATTAAGGCAATGTGTTTTCACATACCTTGAAACACGACATCTACATAAAATCTAATTTAGCATTGAGAAACAGAATATGTATGACACTGAGATTCTTGATAATCGTCGAAAAAAGTGGTGTTATGTAATATTTTGTATAATTACAGAATACTGTTTAGGATATCTTGTATTCTAGTGAATAAAAGTGTGAATTTTTTTTCATTTGTGTATAGCCTCGTGTATTGCTCTTAATTATTGTATTTTTTGTTAACAATATAGAAAAATTATGTATGATGAAAGTCCAAACACAATTAAATATTTTACTTTACCCAAACTCCCCTAGTGGCACAGCGTAATTCTCCTAACTTAAAATGCTAGAAAACCGGTTTTGATAACCGTGGTGGGCAGGACACAGATAGCCCATTGTGTGGCTTCGCGTTCAACTACAAACAAACAAAACATTCTTCTCAAACAAAGAAAGTAAAAAAAAAAGTTGTTGTTTTTTTTCTTGTCGTTTGTTTTTTGTTTGTTTATTCTGTTTTCTCGTAGAAAGCCGATTTAGTTTTTAAGGTGGGATCCGTATTGCAAAACTAGATCACAAGTAATCTAGTGGGATTTCGAAACCTAAGACCGCTATAATTTATCCGGGGAATGGCCCGTTATTCGAAGGGTCTTCATGGATTTTCCGTGAACAAAAATATCTCTAGTGCTTATTTGTACCTTTAGAGAATTAAAAGCATGATTCTTACTATATGAAAAAGAAGACAGTAGAAATTGGCTATCGAATTTTCCGAACGCAAAATGCTAGTGAAAGATACGTGTATTTTTTATCATCAAGTGATTATTTGGCAAGTTTTTCAACAATATCTTATCATTCAACATCTTCTCCTTTATGAGATAGCGGTAAGTTTACGGACTTACAACGCTAAAATCTGGGGTTTTATATCCCGTTGTGAACATGGCACATAGCCCAATGTGGCTTTGCTCCAAACAAACAATCATTACACACTTGAATTAATAATTGAGCTTCACTTGAATATAATCACTTTTCTAATTTTCTCTTTCAAAATTTAGCATTCCCGTCACACCAAAAATGCTCGCCATTTCAGCCGTTGAGGCGTTACAATGTGACGGTCTATCCCATTATTCGTTGATAAAATAGTAGCCCAAAAGTTGGCGGTGGGTGGTGATGACTAGCTGCCTTCCCTCTAGTCTAACACTGCTGGATTAAGGACGAATAGCGTAGATAGCCCTCGTGTAGCTTTGCGCGAAATTCAAAAAACAAACAAGCAAACCAAACAAAATTTAATAAAATTAATTGAAAAGTACGTTTGTTAAATTTCTGTAAAATTCTAAAACATAATTGTTCATGTTCCACGTAAAAAAAAAAACAAGGCCAAAAACTGAAAAATTCTGAATTTCGGAAGAAGAATTAGTTTAGTTCAACTAACATTCATTTTGGTGTGTCTATTTTTATGAAATTATAACAACACTTAAGTTGAATATTTGAATATTGTAGAATCAACATGTTACTCTGCCAAGTTATAAGGGTTAACATTAATTAAAATATGTTTAGAGTAATTAAAATACCCTGTTACTCATTTTACTGTAGACAGTACTTAACAATTTTAGTGGAGTCAAAATCGGAATTTGCAGCTTGAGAAAATAATGTATACACTATTTCCAGCCTTGTTTGTTTACTTTTTATATATATTAGATTTTTTTTTTGCATTTTGATTCAACTTGTTCCTATACTTTTTTGGCTATCCCTATTCCCTTTTTTTAAATTAACAATATTTACTAATCTTGTTATATATAGTGGTTAAATACTGCCTTTTTAGTAGAGAATTTCCTTATTATTTAAGCCACAGTCTGTAGTTAAGCTTACCAATTAAATGTCTGTTTTGTTTAAATGAAGAACTCTTCTTAGAAGCTAAGTGTACCAGTTAATGTCACAAGTATTTGTTTGTTTGTTTTTTTTAAACAAGCTTTTATCATTATAAAACTTGATAACATTAGCAAGTCATGCATGGAGAAACCGGTATCATTAAATAAAATGGTGTTTTTTTTCTTTATGACGAGTTACTAGTTTGGAAAATTGAGTGAAACTAAGTGTGTAATGTTGTAAATCCAACAAAATAAGGATTTGATTAGGTGTACTGTAGGGAAACATCTAACCATGTTAAGCGTGAAACATGGTAATTTGATTACTGTAAACTGATTGCACCTTGTCTGAAAAACAAGCAACTTTAGCCCTTTCTAATCTGCAAGCGTTAATAATTTTTATTTTTACAATTTTAGAAATATATATATATATATATATATCCAGATAAATGTGAGCTGATTTTAACGTTAAAATGTACATCCAGGAACACGCTTCAATGAAAGTTTAACCAG